ATTTTTGTCTAAAGTGAACCATTAAAAAGACATGATTGAAAAACTAAGAAACCAACCAAATTTCAGGGGTTTTGGGGGTGGTACGGGGGAAGCACAAGGGGTGGGAGGTCGAAAACTTAGATTCTTAACCACCAGATGACTGCCTACGACATGCAAAAGAAATTGGAACTACTTCTCATTTTGCATGCTAAAACCCTCTATTCCCTGGACTAATAAGACTGTAGTAGATACTTGTTGGGAAGCTTGGGAAAATCTTAAAAACTACAAAACTACATGAGAATAATTGTTAAATTGCTGTAACTTTTTGACTCACTGATCTAGAAAAAAAATCCTTTTTTTGCAAATCTCGCGGGATCATGCTGAACAAAATAGCGAAGTTGATAGATTTAAGGCTACAGATGGAAGTGACGCATTAAAAATTTAGAGGTACACATTCGTGTAATATATGAGAAAATTAAAAATTTCTACACCGTCAGAAATGCTTCAAAGCAATATGCACAGATTAAGAAAAAGGGGGGTGTACACATCTAATGGCACATCAAAACTAAAGCTTGCTCTTTTTAGAGAATTGAATAAGATTTTAAATAACTTTACCTACGACCTCATGTACAAATAACATTTTTGAAAGGGACGGTAACCAAGCTGAAGTTGCCAATTTTAAGCGTAGGCACTTATAAAAAGGAAGATGTTATGCAATTACATATAATCATCAATCAATCAATGTTAGTTATTGATATGAATATAATAGCAGCATTGGCTGAAACCAGCAACCCTAGTGAACTCGGCCCTCTAAAAATAAAAACCAACAAAATAAAAAATAAAATAAAATCAAATGAAAATAAAAATTTTTTGGCTAACAGCAAAAAAAGACAATTCGAAGTAAACAAAAATTAAAATGAATGTATAGGTATATCTGCAATAAGTTGGTTCCCTTCAATCTAAAAGACTTATCGAAAGGTTGCCATTAACACAGTATTAACAATTTACAAAGATATTTGATATACATATGTATGCTACAGGCGCTCGATGAGTATGGGGTGGTTATCTGAGATGATGTCATCGTGCCCTCTCTTCCCCCAAGCAGATCAAAATCGTCACAGACTTTAAATGAGAGTTTGGATGACAGATATGAATAGAACTAAGTACGAGCGAATATGAGCAAGTTACGGTTTTGTGGAATTAAAATTTTCGTCGCGCTCGTTTGCTCTTTTGGCGCTTGCATCCAAATTATTCCGTCAACTCTTCCTTTGGTATAAATTCGCTCCTAACCTCTTCTGTCTCTAATTTAGCTAAAATGATGGAAAAGTTTTTCATTTGTATGGGTGCATCCAATTTGATTAGCTATTGCATATATTGCATCAAATTGTTCTTAATAATCATAATAATGATGAACGTTATCAAAAAATTTGCACAAATCTGGGTGCTAGGTGGATTGGCGTTACGTTTGTGCCGTAAAAAGTTTGCCAGGAAGTCATGGCCTTTCAAGGTTATCATAATATTGAGATGTTCTGGGAACTTTGGACACTTTTGTCCCCATAATTTTGGAACTAAGTGTTAGTGCCGCGCCTATTTTAATGCGACTTTTGTGCTATACAGGGTGTTTTTTTGGGAGCTTTAGTTAAAAGTTTCTGGGAATGTAAAATAGGTAAGTTTTTGAAAATTTGTACTTAGGAGTTACTCTGAAGGCCGAATCGAAAAAAATATTTTCAAAATTGCCGCACTTCCGGAAACACAGGAAGTAGCTAGTAACTTCGTTATTTTAAACGGCAATTTATTTCGATGTGACCTTTCATTAGAATACCATGAAGGGTAGAACATGTGCCCCCCCCCCCTCAATTGGTTGTCGTATGTAAAAGCTATGCACGTTTTACTTTCAAAAACAGCATCTCAGGAAATAATTCGTGGGGGGGGGGGCTTTTAGACAGCGAAATTAAATTTGATGGCCGTCTGGCACACCTTCAAGGTGTAGGCTACCTATTGCAATTCCAGGACACGAGGACCATTTCCCTAGAAGTAGTTCAAAACGGTAGAAATGGGTCCGGACGGACGGACGGACGGACAAAACGCAAACAACATTTTTTTTAATTCTTAAAAAATGCGCTAAAAAATAACACTTGAATGTCACGAATTGCACAGCCCTCTCTCCCACAATCACAGTCAATGCCTGCACGTTTTGATTATTTTTGATAGTTGGGGATGTTGGGGATACAAACTTTCGTTGAGACACCAGGTATACATATTAAAACAAAACGCTTTTTTTTTATAAATATCATGGTCATGATAATGAAAGCGAAATCCAAAATTGTTATACCGGGTGGTGAACGGTAAGTAGGAACATAGAGATTTAACATGGGAAATTAGTTTTATGCAATATCCTGTCCTCCTGTACATTTTACAGAAAAAACTTTAAGTTTAAAGTTGTTCAGAATTATTAAAATTGTATGCACCATACAAAACTGTTTTTCCATGTTTTATTAAGCAAATTTAAAAATAAATTTCAACCTTTCTGTTATTAGTAGCAGTAGCCATGACTTTTGTCGTTTTAGGAATTGTAAAATGTACAGGAGGGCAGGATATTGCATAAAACTAATTTCCCATGTTAAATCCCTATGTTCCTACTTACCGTGCACCAGTAGATGACCTACGTTCGTTCTGGTGCAGGAAGTGACGTCACACCCGTTATAATTTCACGCTAGTCTTTAAAACTTAGCCCTCATGGTCATGGGCGGACCGAGGCCTCAGGGGGCTCTGGGATAATATTTTCACGAGACGTATACTTGCATGAATGTGGGGTTATCGAACAACGTCTTCATTTCCATTTTTATTGTTTCCTCTAAAAAATATTATTAAAATTACAGGTAAGGCAAACAATGAAAAATATTGAAATACGGTAGTCTTGATAATCGAAGGTACTTGGGGTTCCGGAGCAGGTCAACTGGACGATGGTAAACTCTGGCGATTCCAACTCGGCGATTCTAAGTCGGCGATCGTCAACTCGGCGATAGTAAACTCGGCGACGGTCAGCTAGGCGACGAAACACTCACAAAATTATTATGCTGTCACTGTCATAGGCAATTAGATTACCTGGGCTCAAGTTTAAAGCAGCATTACGATTCGCTTTTATTAACCTCGAGATATGAACATGAACAAAATGCTTTGTATTCGTATGATAAGTTTGTATGTACCTTTGTCCTTGTGTCCGCCACTTTTCGCGCAAATATTTGTCATTCTGGTAAGAAAAGATATGCACGAGGATAAGGGCTCAGTTGTTCCGGTACTGTACTGTTTGCTACCCTATAAAAACACAGAGACATATCTTAAATTGTTCACAATGATCAGAGAACTTTGTCCACAATTAAATCCGGAAAGCATCAGCGTGGACTACCAATTGGGTATTCACCAGGCGATACGACAAATTTTCCCAGAAGCATGAATTTGGGGGTGTTTATTCCACCTTGTAAAGAATCTTCGAAGGCATTTATCTTCCTCCAATCTCCTTGGGCGGTACAATTCTGATCCAGAATTTGCACTACAAGCGAAAATTATCAGTTCACTGGCGTTTGTTCCAGAAGCGGATCGGATGTGGTTACTGCCATTGCTGAATTAGAGAATTATTTGCCAGTGATGAATTCGAACCAATTTTGGAATGGTTCAGCAATAATTATATCGGTCGGCTAAGGAATAATGGGACCAGAGTGCCGCCACCCTACGAGTAACGTAGAATATTGCAAGCGCACGGCGATTATATGAAAATTGAATAAGGCCTTGAAGTTTACAGTTTTCAGGTTTTTAGAGGAATTTTTCGAAAAAAACTCCCCATATGTGATGGTTTTGTCCCTCCGTCTGTCCAGTGGCGGATTTATACTTTTGCCGCCCAGGGGCTTTGGGAAACTTGCCGCCCAGGGGCTTTGGGAAACTTGCCGCCCCTAGATCATTATTACCACAAAAATAGCCCACAACTTCATAAATCCTATGGCTAAAAAATATAATCGCAATCTAAGGGAGTTTATTGGTTCGTGGACTATTCGACTACAGAACAAAATGCTTATAAGTAATAAGTATTTTTATTTGATTATTCAACAATTTATTGGATTAATCAAAACAATTTTCCGCCCCCCAAAATTTGCCGCCCTGGGCACCCCTCTAAATCCGCCTCTGCGTCTGTCCCACCGCCTGTTACTCGTCTAACTCTCGAACGAAAAGAGACAGCGATGTAATCGATTTCTACGAGTTCAAGGATCAGAGCTATTGAATATGAACCACTTTAAAAGTTGCGTTTCCGAAAGCGAGCTGAGTTTCAAAAAATTCCCCTACTGAAAATCGTATGCGATTCTTCGTTTCGTATCTTGTTTTTCTTTGGGACCTCGGGTTGCACAGAACCCCAGATTACCGCGACTTTACTGTAATTATTAAATATATCATAAGAAGAAACTCTAACGTAGATGACATGTCACAGTGTATAGATTCTCTAACTAAGGTTTCGTCTAGTGACGTAGCTTAACTCTCGGTTCTATGCTCCCTGCCTCCTTGTCCACTTGTCGTTGGAGAAGGGGAACTTACATTTATACCCACTATGGCACCCCAGTCACACTTGCGCTTTATAAAGTCTGAAAATTAAAGATCATTTGGCATTTTTACTAGGCTCATTGGCCCGAAGGCCCTGGGCTCCAGCCCTTAAAGCCCCTACCTAAATGCGCCCCCGGTCCTGGTGAAAAACTGTTTAGATGCATGGTTGCGAGTGTCTTTCATCTGCTCTTTTATAAATAGCGCACGGAACGTTTGTAATAACATATTTTAGAAATTTGTGAAGTCTAGAACGTAAAACAAAAACAATTGAAATACCTAACATAAGAGCCTTATTTTTAATCATGTAGGTACATATTTAAATGCCAAATTTTCTGAACGAATCCTTACACTTTCGGATTAACAGAAGAATATACAATTGTACATACACCGGATTTCAATAAATAGTAACTGACGAAGTTCTTTATTTTGATTAGATGCTCGTAGCTGTACCACTTGCGACCATGTTCTACAAGAGCTGGAGAAAATCGACGATGACACCGACACCTTTGGGGTAGATTTCGTGAAAATCAACGATAAACGATTAGCTAAACAGTATGGTATCAAAAATTTCCCTGCGCTCACCTATTTTAGAGAGAAAGAACCTATTATTTATGAAGGTAAGTAAGGACGTTGTATACAGTAGGTAGACGACTACCTCCATGAAAATTAAGTGCTGTATATATAGACAGTAACTCTATATTTAGCTGTATACGCTAAATTAATCAAAATATTTTCAATCTCGTAAAAAGTAATTCATAAATGTGAAAATATGTGTAGCAATAGAAAAGTTCATCACAAACTATGCCTGGCTAATTATATCTGCTCTATTTTGAGACAGCAGTAACTGGTGCCGTGACGTTATGTAAAAATTGAGTGTTAATGTAATAGAGGCATATAAATTATTTACGCTGATGATGCCTCATATTTTCAAACTCACTTAGATTTTACTGTTATTATTTCATGCCTCAATTTCATTACAACGCCCATTAATAAACTACGTAATCGCCACTCAAAACCGGCTATATGATAAAACCAGCATAGCTCGCCAAATCTATTGCATGCCTGATGTGAATGTAACTAAATTATTCACTGCTTGCAGGAGATTTAACGGAAGAGCAAGATGTGCTAGAATTCCTGACGAGCTTAGAGGCCATGGATCTTCCAGATCGCATTGAAGAAGTCAACGGGCGCATTCTGGATAAAATCGTTCAAGAAACAGACTTTGTTGCCGTATTATTTTGTGAGTAATTTCCCTTTTCACAACCTGCATAAGATTTACAAGCGTAAATAGATATCACTAGCAATCAATTTAAGGAAGAAAAAGCGCTCATAAACAAATTGTGCTAACATAAATGTTGTGTTTTATTAACAGTATAAAATTTAACATTTTTTGTACGGCAGTACTATTCGGTACCATGCGCTTGTAGAGACACAAAAGTGTTGAAGAAACGTACCTTATCCGCGATTCAGATTATTGTTGAATGTTGTTGAAATACATCCTACGCGCGGTTTTTCGCAGTTTTCTCAAAATATACTCGTATATCTTAACATCATTGTAAGTATACAACGTAAAGATCCCAATATTTGTAAGGATAAATACTGAGTTGATCTGAGATCACAAAAACCTAAGTAAGCGTTGACAACAGGGATCACATTCTTAGGTGGTATTGCACTTATGAATTTTATTATTTTCGTTTTCCCTGTTACGAAACTTTGGAGATTTTTTTTTATATCCCCGTTACGCTAGTTTCTGATGCAATAATCGATTGTCTGAAGATAAATCGACCACTCTGTATCATAAAATATTGAATAAATATAAATTAAAAACATAAAGTAAATAGAAGAACGCATTTTTGCTTCATTATTTAGTAAGCTGCAACTTTGCTAGAATTCGCGGTATATAGATATAAAATTTTGGTTGATGATTATGAGTTTAATGGTTGATCTAGTATTTTTTATCACTTTCATGAAAAACACCCTGTACATCTTTCAAATGAATCCAAGCATTTACAGTTGAATGAGAGAGTATCTTTCTGTTATGACATATCTGTTACTTATTTTTTTGTTCAACCTCATATAAATGATCAAAAACAACGTATCAGATGTAAGTCTTTTGAATCCAAAAATAAAACAAATGTATAGGGTATACCATTTAATTTCGAAATATACTGCCCGTCATAGGCCACCCAGTGTGGTAATGAATCCACCAATTTATACGTTCGAAGCGTCGAGTTCTCTTGTTTCTTTGTTTGCATAAACTTCCATACACGCGAAAGTTCCTCCTACAGTTCCGAGCGGTTTTTTGAACTAGCAACACGGTCGAGCTAGGCTCTTATCTACTAAAAACGGCTTTAATTTTACTCGAAATGCGCGCCGGTTAGCACTCATATCTCCCGACATACTTTTGTTCACGTTTACTATGAAGCGGCATATGGATAAATTTCCCTATCTTGAACGAAATACAAATTCGAAAAAATAATTTTTAAAACTGCAAAGCGGCGACCCGTTACAGCATCTTTCGTGCGTAAAACATTACATTTTTGACGCTTGTCATCTTTCACTTCACCACCTAAGCAGTTACAAACTTTTTTCCGAGCTGAGCTGCCATCTACTATTGATTATTCTTCACCAGTGACCATTTGAACTACCAAAATAAGTATAACGGTACAACAAATCATATCAAATCATATACCGATAATAAAGCGTTATGGAAAAAAACCGTATAATCAATGTGCGTAGTGCACTTGTGGAAGAATGTACAGTATTTGCAAACTAGAGATGGTGCCATGTGTTAAATAGGTACCGCTTACAATCTTTCGGTGCATAACGCATCGTTAGTGGTTGGGTATCTTCAACATCAAGAAAAGTAGTTATTGGTTTCCTATGCTAACCATTGTAATTATGTGTTTCACTGTTCTTCTTTCTATAGATTTTGAATAAAGCGGTTCATAATGAATTGAGAAATAAGGGTCGCAATGCTTATCGTGGGCGAATGCTAATAATAAATGGAATACTTCTGAAGTTATTTTGATCTTTTAGTATCTATTACCCTATTGGCTTTATGGTCGCAATACACCATTGTTCTTCTCAACCTTTGAATATAACATACACTAAGTCAATTCTTCACGCTTGTCACGTCTACACAAAGCCACGCTATGCACTTGTCAACATTATTTTGTACATCTTGCATAAGATAGGTACATCGTTAAAAGCAAACAATACCGTGCCATTATAGGTACCCTATTTTTAAAATCACGTAGGTGATCTGGCCAAGAAGAAAAATGTTTGCGCCTATTTTTAAGTGATGTATTTTATATCATCGATGATAACTTTTACTACTGACGCAAAGACTACCTATTTTACAGTATGAATATAAGAGCGTATTTCGTCTTTATTGTAAGTTTCAGGGCTGAAACCATGAATTCTAAGTTTATCACATCTTGCAATATTTATAAATCACATATACCTACATATGTATTTCCACATTTTCATTACAAGTACACATCACAAAACGTTTATGAACATTACAGGTCCAGATACGTCTTCTTGTCCGAGAGTGGGCGTTTGTAAGTACGACAACTTCACATAAATACCTACACTGCTTGAAATAACAAAATACCTACCTGTACCTATATTTATTTATGTCTAGGAAATCTACAATATTAAGTAGTAGCATAAACAAAACCTTTTCACATGCATGCTGAGAAAATGACAAAATATGTTGGAATAAAACTGATTGGTTTATTTTTTTTTAAGTTATGTCGAGCTTTACTCTCCTGTATTTGCTGCCAAATTGTTTTAGAGTTACAAAAGACGTATACACCATTCCGCTTTACGCTTTTTAACGCTTTTATATTGTCTATAGATATTTCAACCGTATTTTGTAGGATCATAAGTAATTTATTTATGTCGATCGGTAAATGGGTAGGTACCATTCCGAGGTTTTGCATACAATTTTCTAAATAAGAAAGGTCAAAAGTTGCGAAATTTAAAAAATGAAAGACTTTAATTCCAACTAAAATTATAAGTATACCATAATTTGTCCAGTATGGTTTATATGTGTACCTACACTTAACAATGTTGAAAGAATACAAACACGAACCCACAGCAGAAGAAAAAAACCTCACCACAAAGCGAAGCAAATTAAAGATGGATTACCATAAGGAAGCGGTATGGAGCCGATGTTATGTACGTACGTACTACCATCGTTTATAAATACAATGGTACTACAGAGATATCTGACAGCCAAAAACAAACTAGGAACCGCTATGTGGCGTCTACTACAAGGTAACTCCCTACTCAATTAGGTGAGAAACAAATCACCATATATTTGTTTGCCATTGCCGATATTCTTTTGGTAGCGGAAATTATTTATTATTAAAAAAGTAGAAAAATCAGGAGGAAATATGATAGATAATCTGCTGTGCGCTATCGCATTTAACCCATCTTTATGTGCTAGAATTTTGTCCAAGTATCTCAAAGTTGACTAACTTTTCTCTAATTCTAACTGAATTTACTCAGTTTTAACGTACCTTAATTAACGAGACTAAATTATCAATAGCTAAACCGGAGTGCAAAAAGTGCACTAAGGTGCTTCAAGAATTGGAAAACATCGACGACGAAGCCGACCAATTGGGAATAGGGTTTGTCAAAATTCACGATGAAAATCTCGCCGAAGAATACAACCTTGGTGATCTTCCCGCGTTAGTTTACTATCGCCATCAAATTCCCATTATTTACGAAGGTGAGTGCGCGCGTGTTTGTGATCGGCGAAATGGCATTATTTTCGTTTCAGGGGAATTGACAAGAGAAGAGGATGTGCTTGAATGGCTTGTGCAGCACAAAAGTACCGGCGACGAGGAAGACATTATTGAAGACGTAACGGCGAAAACACTAGCAACCCTTATTAACAGTGTAGACAACCTAGTAGTACTGTTTTGTAAGTTATCCACACGCTCGTTGCAATTTTATTCTAAGTGCGTTGATGCAGATGACCACGGCGATAAAGAATCAATGTTGATCCTGGATGACTTGGAGACAATTGACGACGATTGCGACAAGATCGGAATGCAGTTTGTAAAAATTGACGATGAATCGGCAGCTCAAGAATTTGGTTTAGATTCCCTTCCTGTAATTGTTTATTTCGAAAAGGGCCTACCTAATGTGTATGACGGAGATTTGAAGAAAGAAGAAGTACTACTCGAATGGTTGGTGCATCAGAAGGAGAAAGACGAAATAGAGGACGTGACTGACGAAATGTTAGACAAATTAATAAAAAGTAGCAAGGCTTTGGCAGTGTTGTTTTGTAATAATGACTCCTATTATTCATTGCACGCTGTGATTTCTCTTTTTTTAGATGACGATGACGACCGAAAGTCTCAGCGCGTTCTCAACGAACTAGAAAACATCGACGATGAATGTGATCAGCTTGGTATTGTCTTTGTCAAAATCGACAACGAGGACGAAGCTCTTGAGTACGGTATAGAAAAAGTTCCCGCTCTAGTTTACTTTGAAAACGGAATACCGACTTTATATCAAGGTAACTTAGAAGAAGAGGAACAAGTTCTGAAATGGTTTGAACGGCAAACAAAAGAGGATGAGATTGAAGACGTTACTGACGAAATGCTCGATCTGATCATAAACAAATTTCAGCACGTCGCAGTGTTATTTTGTACGTAGATATTAATGCTGCTCCAGAATTCAGTACGTGTATTTTCAGATGACAGGGAACAGAAGAAGAGTCAAAAGGTACTGGCCGAACTGGAAAACATTGACGACGAATGCGACAGTAACGGTATAGCATTCGTCAAGATTGATGATTCGGCAGAAGCTAAGGAATACGGGATCGACATAATACCGAGCTTAGTTTTCTTTGAGAAAAGAATTCCTTGTATGTACGAGGGAGATCTTCTTAAAGAGGAGGAACTTTTAGGTTGGCTAATTCATCAGAAGAAACACAGTGAGATTCCCTCAGTCACAGATGAAATGATGGATCATCTCATAGAAACTGTCGAGTTCTTAGCCGTATTATTTTGTAATAATTGTGATAGCTGGGGACACGAATAATAATTTGTTGTAGATGATAAGGACGATAAGCAAGACATTAGAGTACTGAATGAATTGGAAAATATCGACGACGACTTGGAAAAAGAAGGAATAGTTATAGTACGCATTGATAATAAGGAAGAAGCTAAGGAATATGGAATAGATCATTTACCTACATTACTCTACTTTGAAGAGAAAATTCCAGCTTTGTATGAAGGAGACCTCATGAACGAAGACGAGGTACTCAGATGGTTGATTGAACAGAAAACTACAGCTACAATAGAAGAGGTTACAGATGAAATCTTAGAAGATCTTATAGAGGAACACGAATACGTGGTGGTCTACTTTAGTGGGCCATGCGACGAAGGGCAAGAATGCGATAATATCCTTGACGAATTGGAAAACATAGATGATGAATTGGATGAAAACGGCATCGTTTTCGTTACTACGGAAGATCAAGTCATCGCTAAAAAGCACGGTATTAAAACGTACCCTAAGTTGGTACTTTTCCGAAATAAAGAACCGCTAATGTACACTGGCGACATTAACGATGAAGACGAGGTGTTAGCTTGGCTTACAGACGAGAACACGTTGGAAATACCAGACCGTATAGAAGAAGTGAACACCAAAATGTTAGATAAAATGTTGGCTGAAAATGACCACGTGGTTGTATTCTTTTGTAAGCACTCAATTTCTCTTTTCCAATCTTAACTTATATTTTCCTTTTAGACAAAGAAGGCGATAAAAAATCACAAAAAATTCTGCAAGAATTGGAAAACATCGATGACGAATGTGAGGAGCAGGACGTAGACTTCGTGAAGACTTCCGATCAAGGAATCGAGAAAGAATACGATTTGCCAAATTTACCGGCCCTCGCATTTTACAGGCACCGGTTTAGGGAATTCTACCCCGGAGATTTAATGCACGAAGAAGCAATTTTGGAGTGGGTTCTTGATCTCCAACACACCAACCCTGACGTAATCGAAAATGTTGACCGAAAAACTTTGCAAGTCAGTATATTGACTACAGAAAACCCAAACTCATTCTTGCCGCTTTTAGGTGTTGATCGATGATGTAGAGCATTTGGCGGTTTTCTTTTATGACGATAAATGTGGGGAGGAGTGTAACGAAATCTTGGAAGAATTGGAAACTATCGACGATGACACAGACAAGCATAACATACAATTTGTTAAATCGAAAGATTCCAAGCTTGCCGCAGAGATTGGAATATTTAGCTTCCCAGCCTTGGTGTATTACGAAACAGGTGTTCCAATCATGTACGATGGTAAGAATATTTAATAGAAAGATTATTAATGTAAACGCAAAAACGCAGTAAGTACTTAAACGTACGATTATGTAGGCAAGTATTCATTAACATCTTTAGCAATGGTTAACAGTTAACAACATTTACTTATAAAATATAAAGTATGTCTTCGCAGTGTGCTTTTGATCCATCAGGTACTATAAAGCGGCATTGAATTAGTTTAGCGAATGTGCAGTTCTAGATTAAGTACAAAGAAGCCCCATATTTTGTGGCACATAGGACCGCTATGTTAATCGTATGCAAAAAAGTTAAGGTAATAAAATGGCATTCTTTATTTAAACTGAAAATATACAGGGTGGGCCAACAAAAACGAAACAGACTGAGTAACTCGTAAGGAAACAGTTTTTAGAAAAAAAGGCAAAAACAGGTCGATTTTGGTTGGAAGGGGAACATCTTTTACTAAAAAATTTACACCCCTAACGTCGCCCCCTAAGCAGGGTTGCCACCCCTTCAATAATTTTACATTGAACGTTGGGCCGAGCGACACATCATTGGAAAGGGCTCTTGATTTCTTGCAAGCTTATGGTTTATTTTCAAATTCTAGCGACTCGTTGGGAAAATACCTAGGAAAATACACTGAACTGTAGGTTTCTGGTAACTACAACAAACTATGTAACCTAAGTATGTCTGGTTCACTGAAATAAAATAGTATCAGTATTTTACCGTTAGTCCATAAAAACGAGCTAAAACCCAAGACAAAACATTGGCATCTGATATATCAGATAATTCATCAGTTGCTCACAATAGGGATAGAGTTAGCTAGTTTTACGAGTCTAAATTTCTGAGCGTTATTAGGAGGTTTTATTGTGTTTATTCTCCAGGATTGCTTTGTGTAACTAATATTTCTGATGAGCGTATTCATTCACATAAAAGCCGTTTGAATTATTTGTCATTTGACACCCTGTATTCAAAGGACTCCCTCAAATTTGAAAACTAAACCATAGGCGTGCAGGAAAGATAATTGTTTTCTTTTCTTTTCCAATGATGTGTCACTCGACCATTTAAAATTATTGAAGGAGTGTAACTTTTTTAGTGAAAGATGTCCCCCTTCCAATCAAAATCGACGAGTTTTTTTCAAAAATCATTTCTTCACGAGATATTCAGTCTGAATCACTTTTCGAACAAAAGTTATACTCATTTGCAGATTGGTTCTTCGGGTCACAAAGTGTCCCCCGCCTACTGTGAATCATCTAATTTCGCATGTAGTTAATTGAAAATATCGCAAATGACAAAAAATAACGATTTAAGTCGATAGTAGGATTCAATGATATTACAAAATTCGATCTGTCGATCATGGTAAGTCTACAAATTCGATTCCAAGAAGATGTAGATTGTGCGTGGCGGCGGGTGGTGGGAAAATGTTATTTAAGTGAGTCGAGTTCCATTACAATCAATAAGCTTTATTCCAAGTAGGTATCATAATATTGACTTGAATCGTTCATTTTTTGTTCTTTGTCAATTTATGACATTTTTAACTAACTATAATAATATACATGCGAAATTAGATGACTTACTGGTAAACGGGGGACACTTTGTGACCCGAAGAACCAATCTTCAAGTGAGTATAACTTTTGTTTGAAAAATTTTTAAACAAGTGTTCGACAATTTCGTTCCTTAACTCATCAAGTATGTAAACAACCAATTTCGTGGATTCTCTCCATTTTCGTTGTCCAGCCAAGAATTGTAGTGGAATTTTTTTTTATTTTCAAGAACTAATTTCGGATTCGTGATTTTCATGTTTAAAAACCCCCAGATACCAAATTTCGTCGAAATCAAAATTTGTTTCGCACCCCATTTAGGAGTGCGCCCTTTCGTGGTAGGAATTAAAAATTTTGCAAAACCTATTTAAATACAATACGTGTCACCAGTCTTTCTAACTCTTAGCGTTGCCCAGAAAAAAATTAAAGCGGTTCACTTTTTTGAGGGTGGCTTCCATTTGGAAAAAGTGATTGTTTTGATTCCCGTTTCCAACGAATTTTTTACATACTTATATGTAACACCCTGTATACAGTTATATTGCCGGAATGTGCTGATATGGGTATGGGCGTATTGCGAAGAGAAATACATATTTCGTATCAAAATACGCTATAAGGTTGGAAGGAATCTCTATGTTCATCAACAAGAGGCTTTAAGTTAAAGGACGTTTATGTGTGATGTTTATTTCTCAGCTGTCATGATGGAATGAATAGTGTAAAACAAATTGCTTGTTATCTAACATGTAGTTGTTTTGTAGGAAATTTAAGAAATGAAGAGAAAGTTCTGGAATGGCTAATAGAACAGAAAAGTAAGAAATGATTCATTATGTTATAATACTTTTGTCATTTTTAAAATTAATTTCTCATAAACACTTGTATTACATATAACACAATTATTTCAAATAGCTTTTGCTTCGGGCGCAAAACAGTGTGTTAATGCATGACAGCTGCATGTTTTTGTGATGTCTTATAGGTGATGGAGATTCAAACAACGACTCTACGTCGGACGACGATGAGGAAGATGATGACACCTCGGAACCGATTCTGAGCAGCTCAAAGAAAGATGGAGGTAGTACTTTTATGGAAAAGACGACGTCAGGTAATTTTACATTGAGTGAAGGACACGACCTGCTGCAGCCTTGAACCTCCTACTACCTACCAGCGGTGCAGGTCGTCCTTGCCTGTGCATGTCTCCTAACCCACGCTGCATGCAGGACATAGTGTCAGACTCGCTCCTTTGTATCGTCTTGTGTACTAACGCTGCCGTTGCGTCAATGCTCTTAATAAATACAAAAAAGTTTCTGTAAAAGTTGCTTTGGATGAATTCTGACATTACGTTTCCTGCTGCAGGCGATGGTTGCTTCTACATCGGAATGGGCGGAAAGAATCAAGTTCCTCATTCTTCCTACCAACCTTACCAATGTTGTCCTTCTAAGCCGAAGGCTCCATCGAAAGTGCCAAAGATAAGCGGATCGAGCAGACCAGTGGCCGTTAAAAAACCCCAGCCGTCTACGAATAAGCCGTTTGATACCGTAAAGCGTGACCGTAAGGTACCCTCAAACCCCGTCCCTAAATCTCCGCCAAAACCTGCACCTTCACCTCCAAAAACCAAATCAGCTGCTAAAGAAAGTGCAAGTGAAAAGGGAAAACCGCAGCAGCCTGCCGCCAAACAGGACAAGGGAAAAGGGAAAAAGGGTTTTTTTGGCACCGGTAAATATATTTGGTGGTGGTAACTCTAGTGTACTCTATTCGATCCATATTCCTGTAGTGGAACAAGAACATCGGCAACGAGGAACGTAAAAAGTGATCTCCAAGATCCGCACATCCAATTATTTCCCTACATCTGACAATTTTCATTACACTCTCTACTATTATAGGCTTTTGAGTGAGAATTTTCGCCATACACAAACTTATGAAATTGCATTATTTGCTGTCTTGGTATTATGTTGCTCATTCATTTTTTTTTTCATTAATCTAAGTAAATATAAGTAATTATAATTTATTGACATTATCATTTTCGAGTTTTTTTAAGAATATTTCATTCATATAGTTATTATGACTATTGTTTGTTAAATTATAACACTCATAACAGCACGTTTTAATGACAACCTTTTAAATTCCTGAATTCAACCAATCAAAGTGACAAACTTTCGAACTGATTGCTCTACGTGTTTGCAAGAAGGGTTGCATTCATGAATTTCCATACTGTTTTCTAATACTTACTTGATATTTGGCGCTAACATCACTGCCACGGCATATGGGCTTCACCATACAATACTGTAAAAAATGTACAATAATAAATTGTTTTTTATTGTTATAAAGTAGTTGTTTTTTACAAGTCACTTAAACGAAATGTATCCGGAAAATAATAATTGTGTTGCGGAACACTAATTATTTATTTTTGGTAAGTTACATTTTCTGTTGGACTAGCCATTCCAAACAAGATTTTTACGAGATCGTGCATGGTAATTAACCCCTAACGCAATTCTCTTTTAAAGGAAATTTATTAGATGAAACAGAAGTATTAGAATGGATGATGGCACAGAAGAACGACGAAAGTATAGAAGAAATTAATAGAGATACGCTTTTTAAATACATAGACACAAAGGAATTCTTAGCGGTTGTCTTTTGTAAGTTATAACGCATTGGAAATACTTCGAGATTCCAAATTCATTTGCAGATAAAGAAGAAGATCCGAAAAGTCCCAAAATACTGAGACATATTGAACTTATCGACGACGAAGCGGCGGAATACGGAATAAAAATTGTTAAAATGAAAGATAGGCTCATGGCGAAGAAGTACGGATTTAGAGATCCGCCAGGTTTGAGTTATTTCCGTAAAGGGAAAGTTATCAATTACGATGGGGACATTGACGATGAAGAAGAAATTTTGGATTGGTTAACAGATCCGGAAAATATGGAACTGACGGATCATATAGAAAAGATTAATAGGAAAATGTTTGAAAAGATTCGCCAACGAACCGATTACGTCGCTTTATTTTTATGTAGGATTGAATTGAAGGGTGTCAATAATACTTATTCTTTATTTTAGATAGTAGCGATTGCAAACAATGTCCCAAAGTTCTTCAGGAGGTCGAGCATATTGATGACGAAGCCGATGCGGCGGGGATCAATTTCGTTAAAATTGACGATAAGAAAATGGCTAAGGAGTTGGGCGTTTTCGCATTACCATCAATTTTGTTCTTCAAAATGGGTTCTAAAGATCCCGTAATTTACGCGGGAGATCTCTATGACGAACAGCAAATATTGCAATGGTTGCTTACACAAAAGGATCCGTCTGGAGACGTCATTGAGTCGATGGAAGGAGATAGTTTGCGTGATCTTATAGAGAACGAGGAAGCTGTAGCTGTTTATTTCTGTAAGTAACTCACTGCTTAACATTATTAAAATTCGTACAAAAGAAATGGTAGTATGGCAACTAGTGTGTATTATATGTATATGTACAGGGAACAAGACATTATGTGACAGTTGCAATGCCCAAGAACAGAAACGCAAATCTAAGCATCGAGTCGCATCAGAAGAGCACCCGGCACCCGTGGCCCATGGTATTTTACCCTATTAGTAGGATTAGTATTTCTCCTTGTAGGAAACTCTTAGTATTTATTTTTAACAGCGTACTGGACAGCAGAACTCTATAAATGAGTTACTTTTGTATATCCTCGCCCTTTAACAATCCGTTTTATGATAATGAGTGTTTGTGTGTACACTTCCTACGAATAATTCTTTAACTTACGTTTCTTTGGCAGATGGAGACATGTGCGAGCAATGCGGAAGAATACTGGACGAGTTAGAAAACATAGACGATGACTGCGAAAAACACGGAATTATGTTTGTGAAAACGCAAGATTTTAAAATAGCAGAAAGATACGGCGCTACCGATTTTCCAATTTTAATTTATTTTGAAAACGGCATCGGAAGTATGTTTGAAGGGGATCTGAGTGAAGAGGAGGAAGTACTGCAATGGTTAATACAGCAACGCACCGAGGATCGAATCGAGCTGATCACGAGGGTGATGTTGGAAAGTTACGTGGAAGATACGCAATATTTAGCAGTATATTTCTACAAACAAAATTGCCATGTTTGTGAACAAATATTGGAAAATTTAGAAAATATTGACGACGAATGCGATGTTTATGGCATTCATCTAGTACGCATTCAGGATCCCCAACTAGCAAAGCGATACAGCATCAAAACGTTCCCGGCGTTGGTTTACTTCAGAAATGGAAATCCCTTACTTTTCGAAGGTGATTTGCAAAATGAACAGTCGGTTCTCGAGTGGTTGGTTGACGACGACAACCGCGAATTGGCAGATGAAATTGAGTCTGTAAATGAGAGAATGTTGGTACGTCTACTAAACGAGTCACCCCTTCTGGCAGTTTTCTTTTGTAAGCACGCCTGCCGTTAGTGCGTTTTTGATATCACTTTGTATTGTAGATGAAGAGGATTGTCCCGAATGTGATGAAATTTTAGAACAGTTGGAAGAAATCGATGGCGAAGCTGATTTGTTTGGAATAGACTTTGTCAAAATTTGCAGCGCAGAGGCAGCTGCGACACACGGTTTACATAGCTTGCCCGCTTTGATATATTTCCGAAAACAAACTCCCATGATTTATGATGGGGATTTAACACAGGGTGATCGAGTTCTCGACTGGTTAACTTCGCAAGATGTATTTGAAATAAAGAATGAAATTGAAGAGGTAAATCGGAAAATGTTAGACAAGCTGTTGGACGAAAATGAATTCGTTGCAGTATTCTTTTGTAAGATACGTCGATTATGTTTATGCGGTTGTTAATTCTCTTGTTTTAGATGAAGCACATTCTGAAGAAAGTAAAGTGATTAACGAGAAATTGGAAAATATCGACAGCGAAACTGATAATTTCGACATAACATTTGTCAAAATGTCAGATTCGAGATACGCCAGAAAGTGGGGAGTTACACAACTTCCAGCTATCGTATACTTTAGAAAACGTTTCCCCAGCATCTTCAGAGGCAATCTGCATTCGGAAACTGATGTTTTAGAATGGTTACGTAAAAATCGATTCAGACAACCAGAATTGAACTTATTTATGTATGTTCTGGCGACCATAACGGTAGCGTTCGTCACCTACACTGCCTTTTTACTTCAATGTTTCAAGCCCCAACCGACCCAAGTTGTAGTCAATGCGAAACAACCATAGCATTGCGCGCTTTTTTACCGATATTTGTTCATGAGTGAATGTAGAGCGACTGTATTCATTGCTTTGTAAATATCTACCCACGGAAGAGAGGATGATTTATGAATGCGAATACCAATTACATTTACACTTCCGCAAAATTGCACCTATACAGCATGGTCTTCTAGTATACGCTTTGTTGCATCTAAACAAAATAAAGGGCATAATGAAGCACGTTCAATAAGTTTTGCACATTTATTCACCTCGATTAGAATAAACTATGTTGATATATACAATCATTCCCGAGGAAGATAAGATCACTGTAATAGTAGATAAGATCACTGTAATAGTAAGATTTAGAATTAAAGTTTAATTTGTAAATGTACATATGTAGAAATAAATTGTTATGTTATATAAATAACGTTACATATTTCCATCAATCGTAAAAAGTAGTCATCGTGCCAGGGTAATGATATTCGCAAATTTTCTTTTATTTTTATTTATATTATTTTGGTCTTTATTTTTAAGTGGACGGGGTTTCAGCCAAGGTCTTCTCTACCAACCCAACCAAATCCCCGGAGATTCCCTGAAATCCCCAGAGATCCCCCTAAAATCTCCGACCATTCCCGTAGAATCCTCGAAGATTTGCCGGAGATCCCTTTAAATTCTAAGACATGGTTTGAAATACTGTAATCAGATCCATCGAAATCGCTTTAATTACTTTGAACAGATATTTAAAGCCAAACCATTTGCTATTACCACAGACAACATATACTATGCGTATGTTGTCTGTGCTATTACCTATCTTGATCTTTTAGAATCGCCACATAGTTTTAGTTCAAAGCGAATAAATATTTCATATTGTGTTGTATATGGCAATCGATAAGGTGAGTCGCTGATTAATCTAGCTCTGCTTTATTAGCGTAATAATTAAAGATATTAGGTCATGTGCTTTGCGTGATTTAGCTTCACTTTGTTACGTTCTTGTCTCTCGTAATTCAAATTTAGTATTCGCCCTCGCTTATATTTAAATTCGACGTCAATATTCTTACGCCATCTAAACCGTTTTGTTTGTAATCCACTAGTTTTAGATGTAAGTTAATACCTATAGTAAATTTGTTATTATCTTAGTCTAGGTTTCTTTTACGATGTTCTTTGTTTCGCCGACAGAGGTCTTGGTCTTGCAGAGTTTTCTTTAATTTCTTTCGACGCAAGCACTTATTTGTACAAAGACGAGATTCGATCATTACTTACTTGTAGAAGAACATGCACGTCATTACAGTTACTCGAAAATCGATGGTGGAAAGACGTGACTGACAAATGAGGAACATGATTCTTTACTACTGATTTATCTGTAATAATATGAAGAACCCCCGTTCTGGTAAGAAAGACTGGAAAGACATATATTGCGTATTGTTGGACACGCGTGGTTTGTAGGCTCCCAATACTGAAGTCTGAAGTTGTGATCGCAGTTCCAATTTTTCCAAGGATCTAGTTGCTGTATAAAAGGCATTAAACTCATTAAAAAAATGGGGATAATCCGTGCTTTCCTCTTTAGTCTGCATTGCCATAAGAGCATTTACTTTTCTTTCCTCCAACTCTAAAATTTCTTTTTCCAAATCGCTGTTCATTTGAAGACAAGCTGCGGATTTGTGTGGTCGAGCGCGTTTTTAAAATCATTATGGACGTCATTCCATAGGCACGGAGGGGAGAAAACGTGTTCCTCCACTCCTCATGTCGGAGCACGGCTGGGGACGGTTCAGTTGACGTGTTAGTTGTTTACCGGGACATGAGAAGTTACACTTCTGTCACACAGTTTTTTAAAATTGTTTGCCAGATTTTACCTTTTTATTAATGTGCGGCAAGCGGTATACAGTACGCTGAGTGTAATTAGCGTAGGCGGTACAAATTTTTTCGCTGCATTTTGTGACAAAAGCATGAAACTCGGTACACGTGTTCATTAGGTCCTAATAAAACTTTTGGCCCGCAGCACCCACCGACATTTTCGTGTGGGTTCAAAATTTGAACACTTTTGTTCAAAAGGGTGTTCAAGGTTTTAAACCTGTAAAAATTGACGAATTTCGGCATTCTAGGGGTCGTTTCTGAATAATTTAGGGTCGCTGGTGTCAATGGCGGCATTAAAAAAGTTGTATATCTGACCCTTAGGCCCCAAATTTGGATTATTTTCAAAATAATGGTTAAATTTTGAATTTGATAGTTTTAACTCTGCGTGATGTTTCGGATGTCGATTCCAGCTAGTTTGGACGTGCACTACACGCTAGAATTGTTATATTGAAGTTACAACAGTTTCTAGTGTGTAAATAGGCCCGTTAATCGTTCAATAATTTGTTCAAAATTTGGAAATTCCATACTTGAAGGATTTTGCCGTTCTTTGTGTCGTTTCCATATAATTTGTGGTTGCTGATGCTGATTTTGTATTCAAAAAACAGATGCGACTCATACCTAGTTAGGATCTTTTCATATTATTTTACCTATTAAGAGGGAATGTTCGCGCAGTCATACCCTTGTTGTCCCGGAGCGTATTGGCATTATGTACTATTATTCAGAGCAGCTCTGGTCTGATTCGCAGTATACTATGGCTTCACGTTATGCCCAAATTGATTATACATTATGTACTGCGATCCAGAGCACCGATATGGTTTAGAGTTCTGAAACCCTGTATATAATGGGTTTCTGCAAAGCGCGTGTACATTAGTCAAAATTATACTGCGATTTAGTAAATTTATACTGCGATTCAGAAATAATGTCAAATCGCGCAGGAGAATAGTTTGGTTATCTCTAAACATCTTTAGATTGTCAGACACTTACAAGACGTGTGTTTTTATTGTTACCTTTGCACGAAAGGTACATTTTTTGTGGTTTGTGTGTGATCAAGGTTCTCAAACTGCACTAAAATGAACTATAAAGAGGTATTGGTTGAAATGTGTAAAGAGAATACATTTTCAATGATCGAATATTTGGAACGAGTAGAACATGGATTTAAAGCGAAACTTCGACTTAAAAAACGGGTGAAGATATTAACAGTGTTTGGTGCGACAAGTGGTTAGCTGATTTTAGTAATAAAACAAACACTAAACCATATAGGTGCTCTGAATCGCAGTACATAATGTATTATTCATTTGCGCATAACGTGAAGCCATAGTATACTGCGAATCAGACCAGAGCTGCTCTGAATCATAGTACAGAATGCCAATACGCGCGTCCCGGATTGCAACAACTATTGAATGACAAAGAAAGACGAAAGAGACGGGCATTTCATTAAGATTCGGAAGTGGGCATGTTCTTTGACGGGGTATACCGTCTATGCTTCCATTATTGCCCTCCCGTCATCGCTTGTTGGGAAATATGTACTTCCATCAGTCAGTCTTGAGCTCACTCCACGACAAGTAACATCTCGCAGCGAGGTACCCCTTGAAGCAAGAGTGTCGCCAGCTGATGGCCCAGAGAGGGGCAAGTTGACATATGAAGGATAAAAAAATTATTAATTATTATTAATTTTAATTATTTTATTTTTATATTAATTATTATTAGTTGTAGGTACCTCTACAACCACAATAATTGTAATAAGGAATTATCGGTCAAAAAAACCAGGACACTTTGGTTTTTGGACTGGTTGCTTTGCATTTTACTACTTTTTTTAATCTCTATACGGACGCAGCTGCCCTCTCCTGTCCCCCCTCTGACGACGCCCTTGTCTTGAAGTGAGGATATCGCAACGATACCGTGAAACGCGATTGATCGCGACGCAGTGCCTGGGGGTGCCCTGAAGTCGCCGAGGCAGCCCCCAAAGTACATCAGACGGCGGGCGGTACGATTAGGCCGCGAGTCACAGGCGTTTTAGGCCCTGCGCGTCGCTGTAGGAACCCTACGCGTATATTGAGGGACCGTTACCACCATGACCAGCCAGAAGCTGGTTCTGGCCGCCAGCCTTCGAGAGCCTCTTCATGTACATCAATAGCACTGGTAGAAGACTGAACTTTTAGTAAAAGTTTATCAAATTTAGCCCCTTGAAACTTCGACGCACAGGCTTTGTGCCACTTTGCTTTGTTCTGAATAAAAGCAGCTTTAATCCCCTTCTCTTCGTTGAGCTGTTGCACCAGATAACCGGCCTCTAGCGTGTGTGCATAGGGTAGTAACTGCTCCAAGTTCCTACAGCGACACGCAGGGCTTAAAAATGCCTGTGACCCGCGACCTAATCGTACCGCCCGCCGTCTGATGTACTTTGGGGGCTGCCTCGGCGACTTCAGGGCACGCCCAGACACTGCGTCGCGATCGATCGCGTTTCGCGGTATCGTTGCGATATCCACATTTCCAGGGGCACGAGTCGGACGGAACTAGCTCGCTGAGAGATGTTACTTGTGAAGTGAGCTCAAGACTGACTGATGGAAGTACTTATTTCCCAACAAGCGATGACAGGAGGGCAGTAATAGTGTTGAAATATGTAATATTTGGTGTGTTACTTTGCAAACACCTTGTATTTGTTTGACCTTCAACATTCTATTCTATGGTTTACAGAACAGTTTAACATGCTCGCGTTCGCGCGTTTTGTGTGGTTATGTCAGATTTCCTTTCATTGTTTCTTTTACAATTAAGGTTTATCATAATAAATGTATACCTACGTATCATAACAGCGAGGTTTAATTAATAATCTCAACAGGTTATTGGCCCAGAACACGGTGAGGTAAAATAACAAAATCGGCATCCGTTTTTTCGTCGCGTTTAAGTCGTGTGCGATTCGCCATTTTGCCTTCGTTTCAGAATAAAATTTACGTTCAAGTCGTAAAATAAACAAAGGTGAAAATGTCGGTTAGTTCTGTAAAAATTGATACGTCCAGCATTCCGAAATTCGACGGTACCAACTTTCAACTCTGGAAGTTTGGGATTACCATTCTGTTAAAATCCGAAAAGTTAATGGCTATTGTTGACGGAAGTACCAAGGAACCCGAAAATAAAACCAGCAAGGATTGGGAGGATTGGGAAGCGAAGAATACGAAAGCGCAAGTAATTTTGTTAGCAACAATTGGTCAAGAGCAGATGCAACATCTAATTAATTGTGATGATGCAGCGAAAATGTGGAACCGCCTAATTGCCATCCATGAGCAGAAAACCGAAATTTCTAAGGAACTACTGTGGCAAAAATTTTATGAATACAAGATGCCGGAAAACAGCAAAATAGCCGAACATATTTCCAGCATTGAACTCTTAGTCCGACAACTAAAAGATGTAAAAGAAACCATCAGCACGAGCGCCATTTGTTCAAAGGTCATCAACAGTTTGCCATCCCGATTCAATGCCTTTAGGACCGCATGGGATTCCGTAAGTAACGAACAACAAACCTTCGAAAATCTATCTGCCCGATTACTAAAGGAAGAGACTCGCATGTCTAACGATAATTCA